CACATTGATCCATCTCAGGAGGATGCACCTGTGTGGTCCCCTACAGCTCTACATACCCTCAACCAAGCCCTGGTAGCACAGTAAAACCAACTCATCTGTTGTAGTTGGATACTTGACCTACATAAGCTCTGCCTCTGCAAAAACTGTCAAAGAGAAATCACCCACCTGAAGCAACATTAACACCCTCCAACCATTCAGGCATATCATCTGCAGTTTAAATGTGATTTTAAACTGCAGTCCACTTGAGGTAGCTCCGGTCTGGCGTCTTCCCCTATCGCTAGCCGTTCACTCTCCTTTTGTCATGCCCCAGGTGCTCTGCCAGAAGAAATGGTGGTAGCATATTAGGAGGCAGCCATTTATGTAAACACTTACTCCCTCATCAGGGACATACCAGAGTTTTCTCTGTGGATTCACACTTCTTCCTCTGTAGCAACTGAAGGAATAAATGGGAGCATAAAATTATATAAAAAATGTATTTCATTTCATGTCCAAGCAAAAAATGCAAGTCAGATATTTTGAATTGTTTGAAGGAAAGATACCAAACTCTAGAGGTAGAAAGGCAGGTATGTAAACATAATCAAATGTTATGTAAATTATTTGATACATTTTTAAGTGCTAGTGTTTTGAGAAGCATGTAAAATGCAAATGATCCTGCCTGCACATTTTTGGAATAAATTAAAATAAATTTAATATCATATTTATTATCTTGTCACTAATGCAGTGCCATCTATGCTCTAAAGTATGCATGTGTGTGGGTTAGAATGTTGCCACACCACCTGCTCTAAGGTTGAATTCATTAGCTTCTCACCTGCTTTTCTGATTTTCAGAATCAGCAAGAAAACAAACAAAAACACCCCATATGAGCCTGATTTTACTTAGCTCAGACTAGTTTGAGCTATAATACTTTTCTTCTGTTTTAAATAAAGATTTTTTTTGGCATGAGGTATTTGAAACAGTTTCTTCAAACTTGTTTTGCAGATCTCATTGAGATCTGAGAACAAGACAAGGTAAATTGGCCAGTATCTTTGATGGAACAAAATATGAATGTGTATGGCTATATATACATGTATGTATGTATACATACATATATATATGTGCCCATAGTAAGATGTGAAATTGGGGTGGGGTGGGGAGGGGAGTTTTGTTCAGACAACAAAAGGCTTCAGTGCTTTGAGACATCTTATCTTTATGGAAGTACAAAAAGTATTAAAAGTTGGAAAAATATTTCAAACACTGTTAGCAGATACAGCTAGTGGCACTGCTCACTACCAGTCCACATAGACTAAAGAAATACATATTTGACTTGCAGGGCAAATTTAACAAGTTTTATTTCTGCATCTGCCACTTATTTTTACAGTACACTGAACACAAAACATTGCACTTATGATGTTGATAAATTTAATTATACCATTTTTGTGGATGGGAGGGCTTGGGCACATGACATTTATGTTAATGTAATTACCCTTTAATGCAATGTAAATAATGATTAGACATGCAAGAAAATCCTACACTGGTGTTACTTACTTCACTCTAATGTAGAATTACTCTAGGAAAAAATCAGGAGTAAAACTATATTAATGTAAGTTAAATCATTGTAAGTATCATGTCCACTTCCACCCTAATGTTGTTGTAAAAAGGCTATTCGTCAAGTTTGTGTGGTTGTCACTTGTGCACCAGCTTCCCCACATTAAAAGATGTCACACACAGGCCTCTGCCAGGGATGTTAACATCTCCCACAAACCAAGATGGGAAGACCACTGCACCAATGCCAGCATCCTCTCTGCAGATAACATAACCAGCACTGAGGTAAAGATCATGAAAAATCAACTTAGCTGGGCTGGCCACTGTGTGCGGATGACTGATACTTGTCTCCTGAAGCAAGTCCTCTTCTCTTAATTGAGTCGTAGTAATAGGACCTGTGGAGGACAGAAGAAATGCTACAAAAACACCCTGAAAGCAGACATTAAAAGGGGTGGCATCAACCTTACAAACTGGGAAGTTCTGGCTGGTAATAAGTCTCAATGATGCTGCACCATACATCAAGCTACAGCCCACTTCGAAGAAAACCATCTTCCTCAGGAAGCCAAGCAATGGCAGAGGAGGAAGGAAAGCCCATAACATCCTGGCCAACAGCTGTTCCCCCTCTCCCACTAAACACCAGCTGTCATATCTGTGGAAAACTTGCAGAGCATAGATTGGACTCTTCAGCCATCTTAAAACTCACTAAAAACTCCCAAAATCTGCCCCCCCTCATCAGATATCAACCTTGTATCAAAGGATAGCTGAAGAAAAAGGCTATTATCTACTCCCTGCAGTCTAGTGGTGAGGCACTGTAATAAGACCTATGACAAGCAACTACCATAGAATTGCTGGTCATCAGGTCCCTCAGGCTCCTGGTGTGATTTATATTTGGGTACAAAATTATGTATAAATGTAACAAAAATTACACTGAAGTAAATGTGTCGTGCTCAGGCCCTAAGTACTTCACTAAAGTCTTGTATATTCTCAGTAACAGAATCAAGATTGAAACCTCAGTAGGCTTCAGAGCCCGCAAACCAAAACGCTCTTTCTGTTTAATTTTGCTCTCTGTAAAAATAGGGCCAATAATATTTGAATTCAGGGGGGCCTATGCATGAAAGACGTGTACCCCTGGAGGCTGGGGTGGCATGGCAAGTGCCCGCAAGTGGCAGCAGTGGTGGCTAGGGCATGGCAACACTGAATGGGGAGCTCCTGCAGGCAGCCACAGCAGTTTTGGCAACTGGGGCGGACTGAGCAGGGAGCTCCTGGAGTCAGTCACAGCACTGTTGGCGATGGCGGGACCTGGGGGATGAAGGTGGCGAGCGCCAACCGGTGGTCACCAACCACCTGCAGGTGCCACTGGCAGCATCGGCAGTGGCCAGCGGTGATCAGCAGCTGCCCACAGACACCATTGGCAGTGGTGGCCAATCGCAGGGGGTGCACCGCCAATCTCAGGTGGTGCACGTGCACCTGCATGCACCCCCTATGCGTTGCCAATGGGCCAATGAGTGACCATTACTTAGTTAATATTTGTGAAGTGCTTTGAAAATATTAGTACTATTAAAATATTACTATTTTAATGTTTATACCATGCTACTGCTGCAGAAGGGAGGACAAACATCTCTTTCTCTATCCTATCTTTACTGTGTGTTGGGGGATTACTCAGGGTATGTAAACTGGGAAATGAAAAGGCATATGAGGAATTAAGGGAGGAGGTTATTTAGTCAGAAGCATTTTTGTGTGGTAAAAGAAGAAAATTTGAAAGCAAAATGAGATACCCAATAGCATTAGAGGATTTAGCCTTAGGTACAATTTATAGCTAAATTATCTAAATGTCAGGATATAAGGTCCCTGTCTTGCTATAAAATGGCCCTTCATCTTGAACTTTATGCAATTTAAAGTGTAAATACTTCAGAAAAAGTATCTAAAAACTGGACAGTTCTACCCCTAATCTTCCTGCCTCACTCCTTTTGCCCTGCTAATTCTTGTCTTTTTGTACTCCATTTCAAAATGACAGGAATTTACCAAATGTGTTCATCAATTGACTTGCCCTATTTGGGGGGTTTATTTTTGTTGTTGTTTTTTTAACTATATCCCTTGCTTTCTTATCAGTTTATTTTGGATTATTTTCTGGTCAGGTGTGAAAAATTAAATATCCATAAAATAAGAACTACTCATCAGTAAGTTTTAATTCTTGGCTTGCTCTTAACTTCTCTGACAACTACAAACAGTTTATATTTGAACAAAATTGGTACAACCACTGTTATTACATATTATGCATAATTTCTAATCAGCTGCTATTGAACAGTTTTCCATCATTTATTTGGACACAGATTGAGAACTCAAAATTGGCTGAATAGATTTGGCCAGTATTTTGCAAATGTAGACGTCTCTGATACTCATGCTGTAACTATTCTGAGAGAATTTCTTATCGAGAATATGCTAAAGAAATTCAGAAACAAGTATAAAATGGGGATTCAAAAGGGAAACTTTTTTCAGATTTATGTTGGCTAGGTTTGGGGACAGTCCAATAGAGATTATATTAATATATTTATAGCCTGAACACATATATTTCAGACACTTTAGGGCTGTCATACTGTGTTGTCTGAATGGTTGTCAAACTGGAGCTGGCTAGCTGTGAATTTACCCAGTTTAGGGTCAAATTAATTAAAAGAATTCCAGGTATATCAATGGTCACAAATGTTTTCAGGCTGTGGTCTGGAATGACTCAGCTCAGGCCAATGGAGGACGGGCACTATGGCCTGGCTTCTACCTTCACTGTAGCTGCTGCCACCTATGTAGTGGCACAGAAATTTCTCACCCCCTGGCTGCAGCACAACGGATGTTCCCATCACCACTGCTCATTCTCCTCAATGCTTAATGGAGAAGCCTGCACCTCTGAACACCACTGAGGCCCCATGTCCACAGGCTGGATCCAATGGCTTCTCAGGTCAGATCTGGCCTATGGGCTTGTAGGGTGCTGAACCCTGAGGTAGATGATTTTTTCATATCTCAATGGTTGTTATTAATTTTTCAAAAACTGTGGTAACTATTTCTAAAGATGGTGAATAGTTATATTTACAGAAAAAAACCCTTAAAAATACCAAATTGTTCTACTATCTCTGTGAATATAAGCAGGTATTTTATGTAGGAACTGTACAATTTTCAGTTGAATACTGTGTTTATATGCAAAGTCTGACGATTAACAAATGTGTCATCTATTCATAAAAATTAGAAAAAACAAAAAAAAATACCTACCTGTTATCCCTTTGATGAATCTATAACATTATCCCTTTGATTGCCTATTCAGTGTGTGTCATTGACATTTTTGCTAATGTTATGTCAGGTATTTACTTAGCTACATAGAGCCTCAAATAAGCATCATTTTACATCTCGGGAAAATGTGAACTGTTTGACATAGAAACCTATAATTTAAATCAGTGATTCAAACACCCTTTTTTTCCTCTTATATTTTATCCTAGGTTGCTTTCACAGTTCTCTTTGATTTAGAAGCACTTCTGAAGATCTGTTGTTTGGGCTTTACTGGATATATTAGTTCATCTCTTCACAAATTTGAACTGCTGCTTGTAATTGGAACTACTCTTCATATTTATCCAGACCTCTACCATTCTCAGTTTACATATTTTCAGGTATGGTCAAGTAAATTTTAAGATTCTACTTCAATTTTTTCCCAAAAACACTAAAAATATTATCTATCAAAAATGGCACACATTTCACTCTGTGTTTTCCTTTATTTTTCTAGTGTGCCCTTACAGCTAAGTTATTTTGAATGTATCTTTATAATAAAAATAATTAAATAAGTCTTCCCTTAGGTCTGTAGATCTCAAGAAAATTTACAGGAGTAGGTTTCCCCCCTCCCTGCTAAATGCACCATCCTCCACCCATATTTTTCCATCAACTTTCATTTCCTACTTCTGCATTGCTTTATCCTGGTTTTGATCTAGTTTGGCTCTGATTCAGCCTCAGACACACATGTGTTTGCTTACTTACTCACCTTCTACCAACTTTTGCAGACTCCTGTATACTGACTGCTATTGGTTTTCTGGCTTCTTATTCCTATCAGCTTGCTTTTACACCTCCAGCTACTGTCCCACAACATTTCCTGACAAAGAGATTCTTTGTTCCAGGCCCTTTTGGATCCTCTGAAATGATTGCCCCAGTTTCATCCTGGGCCCTGTTTTTTGTGGGGTTTTTTGTTTTTGTTTTTTTTTTTACAGTTCCCAAATGTTAAAGAACTTTTCACTGGGGCTGTTCTGTCATTTCTGTAAAAAGACCTGTGTGGAAGACAGAGACTGATCCATTTCATTACCAAAGTAAACTCATACTTGCTTTCATTTAACCTAGTGATTAGTTTCCAACAAGCTCCTGTGTCTCCTCCTTCCATAACGTGTAATTTAAAGTAATGGTAGAGTGATGATGTAGCCATGATGGTCTAGGAATTATGCAAGAGCCAAAAATGTCTAAGGGTGATAACTTTTATTGCACCAATTGTATCCTTGGGATAGAGTTAGATGAGCTTTCAAATGCAATACATTGTTCAAATACAAGTATATATCCTACATATCATCACCTGACAAAGGATGTCTTGCATTTGAAAGCCTGTCTAACTCTAGCGCAACTGTCAGTTGACTCAAAAAGATATCATACTAAGAAATCCTTGCCTCTATGCAATTTAAGGTAATTCCAACAGTGAAAGAAGACCCAAACATTCACTATACTGTAGTTTACTCTCAATAGGAGCGGTGTCGATGGGCATTTCTATACAAAATGTTTACTGTAAAGTTGACTAATTAGCTGCACAGTAAGCATAATGGCATCTACATGTGCACCCCTATTAGGCTGGAGTAAACTAATATAAATATAATATAAGTGCTATCCTGTAAAGTATATACAAATAAATACTGTCCTGCTGCAGAGTAAAAAACTGCCTGCTGGCTAGCCTACACACTGAAGCACCGTTGTGCCACAGCCAGCCCCTCTGCAGCACATTGAGCTTTATTGGTCTGAAGTTTATTGCTTCTCATTAATTGCACATGTAGGCACACCCAATTGCTGTCTAATAAACCTTTGTAAAGGCTAACCTAATTACTTGGACATCAGGAAGTTACAATTAATTCAGGAATTTCACATGACTATGATTAGAGTTTTTACAGACATTTTAATTATAGGAGGGATCTGGGAATTGTAAATAACGCAACGCAACGCAAACCACACCACACTTCTTAGAAAGCCTACATTATGTTCTAGGTATTCTATTTCAGCTGTTTCACTGATAAATTTCTTTTTAAAATTTTAAAACACACTCATATCCATCTATTATTTTGAAACGGGATGAAGTGACTAATGAGTAATAAATAATAACATGAATAGTTAAATTTTACAGAAAATCATGATAAACGATGATGCAGTACAGTCAGCTTAGAAGTCTGTTGAGCCTTGACAAACATGCATACAGGAAACCCTTGCTATTCGTGGGTTTGGCATTTGCTGTTTCAAGTATTCATGAATGCTGAATCCACATCTTAAATACATTTGCAGGAGCTCCTCAGGAACTCTGTGCTTGCTGCCACGAGGCTCCTGCCACCACTGCCGGGCTCCCACTGTCACCAGCGCAGCCGTGCCCCGCCCCCAGCCGCCAGGGGTACTGTGTTCATGAACACAGCCAGTGTTCATGAATGCAGTGCCTTATTCGTGGATTTCACCATTCGCGGGGATCTCAAGAACATATGCCCTGCAAATGGTGAGGGTCACCTGTATTAACACACAACTTCATGCGGTCTTACAAAATTAGTCAGAAAAAGTTGCAAGTCTTGAAAATCTCTTTCTCTTGAAAATTACACTACAGGGAACACAGGTTTTTAGAAAGTAATATGTATGATTTTAAATAATTTACATGCTATCAGAATATTCAGTACCATGCCATTCACATGCTATGATATAATTACCAAACCTAAGAAAATGCTCTAGCAAAACTGAAGCATCACATTAACTTATTGTTGTAATATTTAATCAGAACCTACTTACAGCTTGTGGTCTTATTCCAGAAAGTTTTATATAAAATATAAATGTGACATATTGCATTAAATAGAATAAAAGTAATAATTACTGTCCACTGACTTATTTCCTTTTCTGTTCTCTTTAATTCTCTCTGGGCAGATCTATTTTTCATGTGTTTATATATTATCAAAAGCAGTCACTCTTGCTCTAACTCTTCTTTCATTGCAGTCAATGGGAGCATGGTTGGGAGAATCCTGGGTACATCTGCACATACAGTTAGCATGATGTGATAAACTTTGGCACAGTTCACACCAGAGTTTATTGTACCTGGACACACCATTTGTACGAGCACCTAGGGCTGCTCCCACACACCTCAACATGCTTCGGAGAGGCTACCTGGGGTACGAGGGTGCTCCAGTGTGGGGCTAGCAACCCTGCAACCCCAGCAGTGAAGCACACTTGTGCCTTGGCCAGCCCCATCAACATCTACACATGCATTGCGGCACACTAAATAATGTCACTACAGAATAGTACTTGTGTTTACAAGTATTAACTTACAGTGGTGTTTATTAGTTTACTGCAGACTAATAGGGATGTCCATGTAGATGCTGAGGCTTTACCACAGAGCTAATTAAGCAACCCAACAGTAAACATCTCATGTGAATGCGCCCACTGGATGTTTTTGAGAATTTTCAAGTTGTCACATAGTATTAAGCAGTTGTATGGATTCAGGGCTTCTAAATATAAAATAAAATAGTTCTCGAAGGTAGATAGTTACTGTAGATCATATGGTGATTATTATCATAATTCTAATGAAAGAGATTGTAGCACAAAGATGTCTAGAGTCTTTAGATCAGAGCTTTCCAAACTTTTCATGTTGGTGACACACTTTTTAGACATGCATCATTTCGCGACACAGTAATTCAGTTCCGCGGGAGGGGCCAAGGGAAGCAGACGCGAGTAAGGGAGCTCCGTGGTGCCCTTCCGCAAAATTTTCTGCATTTCGCGTGACACACCTACACACTGCCGCCGACACACTAATGTGTCGCGGCACACAGTTTGGAAAGGACTACTTTAGATATTATTTTCAGATATTCAGAAAAATGTCCAGCGTCTCTGGTGTATTCACTTGTGACTCCTAAAATGGTATCAATAAAGACTTAAAATAATCTTCTTCTTTATTTAAAATAATGTCTTTTTAAAAAGTACCTTAAAATGTGCTGGGTGAAGTCCAGGGCCCATTGAAGTTAATGTCAAAACTCCTATTGACTTCACTGGGTCATGATAGCACCATATACCTGCAAAAAATAAATTACTGTTATAGATTCCTCTTTTAAAATATAGGGTGCTTGAAGTTCCATTCCAGAGACTTTTGATGAAATATTTTTTATTAAAATATCACTATAAAAGACATAAGTTTTACAAGCAGAAACACCTGCTGCACTGAAAGATTTGAGTCACATTCTGCAATGCAAATCTCCTTAAGGACAAATGACAGAGAAGTTGTGCAAGTAAGTACTTGCCATATCCCCAAGCAGTCAAACTCCTAGCAAGCTATGTCGCATATCTCCAGACCACTAAGGTCAAAAAGTGATGTTAACATGGATACATTTGGAGGTTACGCAAATCTTCAGGCATTTCAATATTAATGATGACAGGTTTACTGTGCTCCCACTCAGCCAAAAATAAATGGTTGCTAAAGCCAGAGCACCTGTTAGATGCACTTCGATTTATCAAGCAGAACTATATTTCACCTTTCTAGTCTTCATATACTGTAGTCTATATTATTTATTAGTTTGCATGGAAAACAACTTGTTAACACATCAGTCACTCTTCATACACGGTTCACCTCCACATACTGTTCACCTCTCTCACACCTCACTATTCATTCTGATTCAAAACAACATGCAACTTTTATGGCTTTCTGTGAAAGAAAACTAGCATAATGTACATTAATGGAACCTTTCCATGGTCCCGATTCAGCTGTTTGCATAGCCAATAGAAAGACTCCACATTTTGCATATTACTACAATGACCAATAAAAAAACCAATATTTTTACTGGAAAAAGTATTATAGTCATCTTCTGAGGTAAACAACACTATTTGAGAGGCAGTCTTAGAAATTAACAAAGCTTTTTGGTTCTTGTTTCAGTTTTAGATTTGAATTGCTGTGCAAAAATCTTTGTAGATTTCATCCAAAATACTGTACATCACATCATTTAAAAAGTTACTTAAAATAAATTATGCATTAGCCAGTAGCATAGAAAACAAGAATGTCATTACAGTGCAAATTTAGTAGGTCTAATTTGTCTCCTAATGAAAACAGATGAAATAGCAAAATAGTACCAGTAAAGATTAATGTGCTACTTAAAGGTCAATTAGATCTCTTTAGATAGGGGAGGAAAAAAAAAACAGTAGGTAAGACAGTTACCATATTTACTCAAATATACGACAGGAGTTTTTCCCACCAGTTAGCATATGGGAAAAAAGCTCTTCATCTTACATTTGCATACAAGGACACCTCATTAAATACATTGTCTATCAGTAAACTCCTGCCAAAAGTAGCATGTGCTCAGTAATGGAAACCAACTATGAAGCTGATTAAATGCAGTGAACACTAAGCCTGACTACAAAACACACAGTCCACTTTGGGCGAACATGCTAATGGGAACCTATTTTTTTTTTTTTTTTGGTCCTTAAAAATAAAGAGCGGGTATTCCCTCCACAGGGAACTGGCACTGGGCGGGCCAGACCTACCCATTACAACCTCTCTTTGATGCCAAAAATGCTTGAGCTTAGCTAAAAGGCCAAAATAAGCCAGTGTAGCCCAACTGAATAAGATAGTGCCCATTAAGTGCAGTACCCCTCAGTGCCGACCCTTTTCCAAGTCATGATGAGCCACTACATTACATACATTTTTACTACTTCTTCACTTCCTCAGCTGAGCTGTGCCTTTCTTTCCCATTTCCAATGTTTCCTGTTTCTTACCAGTCTTAAATGCCTGGCAAACATCACACAATGGAGCCTCAAGCAGTTTCCCCCAGAATCCCTCTGTTACTCCCTTTCTTCATCTGTTGCTTATGATTAGTGTAGCCCTTCCCCCCCACCCTCCATGAAGTGGAGCTGGACCAGGTTCCCACATTTTTAGAGGATTCCAGGCCTCTTCACAAGAATATCTGGTTCCATTCATGGGGAGATGGGGGGGCGGGGAAGGAAGGGACAGGGGTAACTAGCACATGAATCCTTTGTGGGGGATATCGGGAGTACACACACATACTGAGCAGTGCTGAGCTGTGGGTTCAATGTGATGGTGCACTGGTTGTGCCTGCCACTTTAAGATCATCAGGAAGGCTACGGAGCAGCTGGCAGGTGGGCTTAGGCCCCATTAGGTAGTCACCTGACTGCAGAGGGCCACCTAATTGGAGGAGGGCTGGGAAGACAGAGTATAAGCCTAGACCCTGGGTGTCCCAGCTGCCTATGGAGGGTTCGGGATTGAGAGTGTGGTCGGGGGTAGAAAGGTAAGAAAGATTTATTGACTTAACAAAAACACAACTATGCGTAGTAGCAAGACAAACAATGACAGACAAAAGCAATTCGCGTCGGCAACTTATCGGCAGTCCCCACTGATGCCTGGTACACAGCAAGCTTCTCTTTCCACAAAGTTCAGTGAAGTCAGACGTTCCTGAACAGCACTGTCCAAAGGGTACCGGGAAGGACCCTGGAATGCAGTCCTTGGGCTCCTTGAGGTCCACGGGCCCACTGATCCGGGCAACAGCTAACTGATCCTTTTCACAGAGCTGTATCTTCCTTCTGAATGGTTCTGATAACGTACAACCACTCAGATTCCTTTTACTTCAACTGTCCTTAGACTGACCAATTAGTGGTACAAGCCGTGCATTCCTTTGATAAGGTAATTTTAACTACACCACAGGGCCTTACTACTTCAAGGCTTTGCTAAATTTACTAGGCCTTACTTTATACAAGGCCTCACTACATCTTAGACTTTAATTAGGCTTTTAGCAACAACATATAGCTTAATATCTAAACAAATACAGAAAAACACTTGGTCTAATCTTCATAGGGCCTTCAGCAAACACCTTTATCACACAGACATCATTTCAGCTGTCACACCTGGGAGCAGGGCTGGAAGTTGCATCTGGAGAGCTGTTGGAATAACATTGTGCAGCCTGAAGACTGCAGTTTCTGTAACAACTGGAGGTTAGGATAGGAACTATGAGGATGGAGTAGATTCCTTTGGTCCTGGGTAAGACCTGAAATTGCACCCTGCTTGGGTTGGTTGGTGTGGTTGGTGTGTTGGGAGAGCCTGTGGTGGGGTGCCCCCTGGAAATGCCACACCTGTGCCTCCCCAGTGAAAGGCAAGGATGGGGGGTGGAAAGCTTCATCCCCCACTGCCTTGTGGGTCACCTCATAGAGGAGAAAGGCCCAGGGCCAAGGTCCACCAGGAGGGACCTAAGGTTTGAGGGGCAAAAGGTTCAGGAAGAGGCCAAGGTCCACTAGGCTTACAGAGTATGAAGTGTGGCCCAGTGAGGGGTTGGAGTGCATGTGGCCCAGTGAGGGGGTAAAGGGCAGCCCAGTGAGGGGCTGAGGGAGTAGTCCAGTGAGGGGCCAGAAGGTCAAGGCCCAGTGAGTGGGCCAGATGCCAAGTATGGTCTAGTAAGGGGCTGGGGGGAGCACAGACAATACGATGCCATCTGCGAGGCATGGAACACGGTGTAGGGACAGTTCAGAGCTGTGTGTTTGGCCCAGTTCACCAGGGCTGCCAATGGGGCGGCTTCCCGCATTACATCTATTCATTTTACATCAACGGTGTGGCAGGCGAGAGCAGGGCGGACTGCACTAAACGGGGAGGGGGGGGAATTGATGTCTTTGCATGCCTGGGGACACCCGTTGCAGTTACCATGACTTGGAACACTGTTGACTCTGCTGGGGCACAGCCCAGGGAACTATATAGTAAATCATGAGCCTTTTGGTTTTGAACTAATATTATGCATAGTGGATGTATCAACACATGCTATTAAGGTGAAGCAATAAAGAAGCTCCCAGGCACTATGTTTATACATGTGCCTTGGACCATAGCACAGTAAGCCAGGTCAGAGCAGCTCCAGGTGGCAGGGGGACCAAAGGGATTACTCCAGCCTGGCTCAACACGCTGCAGAGAAGATGGCTGGGGCACACGGGTGCTACATTGTGTAGCCCATACACTGAAGCACCCTCCTGCTCCAGCAAGCTCCATCAGTGTCTACACATGTGATGCTGCAGAGTAAAAACCTCCCCGGCAGGATAGTACTTGTATTTAGAAGTTTTCTGCAGCCTAATAGGGCCATACATGTAGATGCAAAATGTTTACTGCCCCGCTAATTAGTCTACTCCACAGTAAACATCTTGTGTAGATGACCCCAGTTTGTACTTTATATAAGTTGGCATAAAAGTGTTTCTTAGAAGTAAGTTTACTAAAACTTGCAGCAGTGTCAAAGAAGGTACAATGCATCAATTCTGGATAAACTAAATTATTGCTGGTATGTTTATTACAGTCAGTGCTTTCAGATTTGCCCCTCACTTCCATGGAGAGCAGGGCCTGACAGTAAAGTGGTGAGTGAAGGGGCTGCAGGGAGCAGAAGTTGTGTGGGGAAAAAGGGCAAGGGGGCGGCCTAATCTCCCCTGATTATTTTCCCTGCTGTAGGAGTGGGAAGGGGACATATTCAAGGCAAACCTCCAATAACTAGGTTATTAGGTTATATGTGAAAAAGTGATCATTTTTAAAATATTTTTTTCAGGTATAGAACCTAATTACTTGGGCCCTGTCTTATATTTGAGTAAATATAGTGAATAAAACACAAGACTTAGAATGCCAACTGGGGAGTGAAATCCTGACCCCATTAAATAGCAAAACTTACAGTGGTTTCCATGGGGCTAGGATTTCACCCTGCAAGAATTTTTCTTGGGTAAGAAAGTTTCATTTTCACATAATCATTCTTCAGGTTGGAACTGTGCTTTAAAATAACAACAGTTCCAGACTAAACTAAACTACTGAATTTTAGGTAGGTAACATAAAGAACATGGGGTTATATATTATATGATCACAGCATCTCAAAACAGCGAGCAAATGCTGTTCTGCATTCTGTGAAAGGTACAAGCTATAGAAAAATCCTCCTCAGCAAGAATTAAGTAATCAAGCCTCAGCTTTCTGGGGTGTTGCTGTTACAAAATAAATATGGGGATAGACTGCGCAAAATAATTTTAAAAATAACACTTTAAATTCTCATGTAGCACACAGCTTACCATAGAAATGGGGCAGTCAAAAATTACTCCAGGATCTTAATATTGGATCTTATCTAATACTGGAAATAAAATAGCTCTGTTGTGTAGCTGATCCTGAAATCCCTGTGACTAAGATGTGAAGAATTTGCAGCATCTACAAGGCATGATTAATATGTATGCATTCATAGTGGAAACTCTTTTGGAACAGGCACCATCTTTTTATACAGCACCTAGCACAAAGGGCCCTATTTCAACAGTAATACTAATAATTGGGATAATGTGAGAGAGAGTGATGTATTGTAAAATCACGTGAAAAATATTTTCTCCCATATTGAGAATTATATAAATAGTGTTTGCTATATTAAACTACAAAATTAGACAAATACTTGGATGAGATGGTTTAGAGAGGGATGATCCAGCTTTGAGAAAGGGGTTTGGATAGATAATCTTTTGAGGTCCCTTCAGCCCTTTTTTCCTTTGATTCTATGAATCACATGAACATTTAGCTAACTTAACAGTTTACCTTTAGTACTTTGCACTAAATCCAGGACTAAATTTTGTCTTAGATTACTGATCAAATGAAATATCTATGATGATGCTGTTGGCAGCTCTTGGCATGGATACACACCCTATTGCTTCAAATATATTCTCTGAATACGCAGATGTCCGTACTGATCCAATGGGACTTTAATAGTGTCCATCCACAATCTTTTAATATGGGATACCAAGGAAATTAGCTAAATCTTATCAAGCAAATATAGGCATTAGGAAGAAACTTGAATAAACAGTCTACATAATTTAGACTAGAGTCATACTAAAAATAAGGGTACCTGGTAAAATAACTGTTTACCAGTGAAAGTAATCAATTACTGGAACAACTTACTTACTTATACATTGGATTCTCTATCACTTATCTTTAAATCGAGAGTGAATATTAATTTGAAAGTTGTACTCAAGCAGCAGCTATTTTCTTGATTCAGCAATTACTGGGCAAAGCTCCGTGGTACTGTCCTGCAATCATGTAGGCCAGAGTAGAGAGATAATCATAATAATTTCATTTGGCATTAAAATCTATAAAGCTGTGAAATTTGACTGATTAATGATATAGTCACAAAAACTAACACAATTGTATTTTCTCTCTCTTTTCAGGTCCTTAGGGTGGTTCGGCTTATAAAGATTTCTCCTGCTTTGGAGGATTTTGTGTATAAGATATTTGGACCTGGAAAAAAACTTGGGAGCTTGGTCGTATTCACTGCAAGCCTTTTAATTGTAATGTCAGCAATTAGTTTGCAGATGTTCTGCTTTGTGGAAGAACTGGATAGATTTACAACTTTTCCAAGGGCAAGTATACTTGTTATTTTATTGCAGTTGTATCTTTCTGTCTAACCTAGTTTTCATTGTGAAGGAATTTGATCATTTTTGAGAAGATAAAACAAGGGTGTGGCCTTCATTCTGTAGCTCTCTTTTTTTTTACTCTATCATAATAGTGAGGGGTAGTTTGAGTTAGACTGTTCATCTTTGTCCCTGTGGCTGAGACACGCAATATATTATATTTACTCTCATAACACATGCACCTTTCCCCCAAAAGTCAACCTCCAAAATTGGAGTGCATGGCAGGTCACAAGTGGGGTAGCAGGGAAGAACAGAATCATTAGAATACTGTGCTGTACTGCTGCCAAGATAGTTGTTGCTTCTCTGTGGGCACGTCTACACTTGCAATGAATGTAACTGAATATATCTCCAGCTCAGTTTGCGCCAGAGTACAGGCAGTCCTTGACATTACAACATTTGAGTTATGACAAACGGTACTTAGGATGTTTATAAATTGACACCCTGTTATGACTTTCCAACGTCAGTTTCAACTTTACGATGCTGAATCCGACGCAATACCATGCCAGCGAAAAGGTTTGCTGCGCCACCCATCTCCCTGTGCCAATCTGCCACGCCGTGCATCTCCCTGACTCAAGACGCCCAGTTGCTGTTGTGATGCTATTTTTACGCAGGAGATCTTTGTGTTCCCAGACTTTTTCTTAAAATGTGGTGTTTTTTGCCCATAATAAATGGCAGATAATTGTAAATCTGGTGCAAGTGATGTTTCTAAGAAACATAGAGCAATTACTGAGGAAACAAAAATGGAAATAATTAAGAGGTCCAAAAAAAGGTGAGATACCAACTGAAATCAGTAGAGTTTTGGATATTCCCTGAATGACTATCGTGGGGATGTCCAAAGACAAGGTAAAAATTCAGGAACGTGTTAAGGGCTCGGTTCCTATGCAGTCAACTTTGATAACTAAGCAACATGTTGGACTTATTGCTCAGGTTGAGAAACTGTTAATCATTTGGCTGGAGGATCAAAATCAACGCCATGTTCCTGTGAGTTTAGGCATAATTCAGGAAAAGGCTAGCAGTCTTTATGCTGATCTAAAGAAACAACAGGGGGAGGGAGAGTTCTAATGCTGAGCCTTGTAATGCAAGTAGGGGATGGGTTATGCATTTTAAAGCCAGAGCTAATTTATGTAACAGAGTCTCAGGTGAAGCTACCAGTGCTGATGAGGCGGCAGCTCATGGTTTTCCTGAGACATTTGCTTAAATCATTGAAGAGAGTGGGTATTGTGCTCAACAAGTTTTTTATGTTGATGAAATAAGTCTCTTTTGGAGGAAAAAAAGCCATTGAGAACCTACGTTGCCAAAGAGGAGAAATCCATGCCCGGGTACAAAGCTACTAAAGATCCACTTACTCTTTTGCTTGGTGTCAGTTATGCAGGTGATTTTAAACTTAAACCTTTACTTGTGTAACGTTCAGAAAATCCCAGAGCTTTCAAGGGATATTCCAAGGCATTTCTTCCAGTGATATGGAAATCCAGTCCTAAGGTGTGGGCCAATAAGAACATCTTTGAGGATTGGTTTAATCATCATTTTGTGCCAAGTGTCAGGGATTATTGCAGCAAGAACAATCTTGCATTTAAAGGATTGTTAATTCTTGACAGTGCTTCTGGTCATCCAGCCTTCCTTGATGACATGCATCCTTGACATCAAAGCGGTGTTTCTGCCTCCTAACACCACCTTACTGTTGCAACCCATGGACCAGGAGCTAATTGCATCCTCTTAGTTGCACATTTGCCGAGGTCATCAGGGCAATTAAGAAGGAAGGTGGACCAAATCTGAAGGAATTTTGGAAGGGCTTCATTGTTTGCCATGCAGTTAAGAAAATTGGTGAGGTATGAAATGAAGTCAAACCATCAAATTTGAAAGGTGTTAGGACAAAATTGTGTCCTGAGTTTGTGTCTGACTTCCAAGGCTTTACAGACACTGTTGAAGAGGTGATGAAAAATGTTGTTGAAATGGGCAAAGAGCTCAAGTTAGACCTTGCACCAGAGGATGTTAATGAATTGCTGGCATCACATTCTGAAGAACCAACTAACGTGGACCTTATTGAATTGGAACAGCAAAAAGTGGCAGAGGAAGAAGAAGATGCACCCACTGTTGAAGAGACTCCTCAAAAAGTCTTGACAACAGAAGTGTTGGCTGAGGCATTTCAATATTTGGAAGTTGCTATGTCCCTGTTTGAGGAACATAACCCCAGCATCAAACACAAGGCATCAATGAGTAGGGGCATATCCAACATATACAGCTGCTACAGAGAAATTTACAAGCAAAAGAGAAGAACATCTGTCCAAACTTCCTTGGACGCTTTCTTTAAGAAAGCAGACAAGAAGCCAGAAAAACCTGCATCCAGGACTCCTGAAAAGATTCCAGCCAAGAACCCTTCAGAAGTCTAACCAAGAGACCTTCAACAAGTCCAGCAAAGTTTATATTGCTATTTATAATATAAATACATTAATGTAGCTATATTACTCATCTATAATTGATTGACTACAAAATTCTGGGTTATTTTTGGTGAAAATAGGGCAGGGGTAGGCAACGTTTTTTGGCTGGAGTGCCAAAAAAAACACAATGTCTACCTTTGAAGGTGCCGGCATGCCAGCATGCCAGAAAAACAAAACAAGGGCAGGGGGTACATGGCAAGGTGCACTGCATATTAGTATAGTTAATAATCATAAATGTTGCTCTTTTTCTGGTAAAAACCAGATTTTCTAAAAGTTGTAAACCTGGCGACAATAAATAAAACTTCTGATACTACCTTTGATCTTATGTCTTCTTTTTGTGCGGGTCCCCCCACGTCAGCCCCCCAGCCCTGCTCAGGCCCCTTGCCCTCCACCCAAAGCCCCTGCCCCCCAGCCCTGCTGGAAGGGGCCCCCAGCTTCCAGGGCTATGGGGCTAGAGACCCAGGTCCGCAGTTCCCTGCCTGCCCCCAACAGAAGGCAGTGGCTGCTGCAGCAGGAGCCAGCTCCCCCATCACTGCTGCCTGCTATGGGCTTGGGTGGGGGGTGGGGCTGGCTCCTGGTGGCAGCATGCACTCCCAAGGGGTGGGGGGACCTGCGCCCCCCAGCTCTGTGTGAGGGGCAGGGCGGGGAAGCACTGTGGGTTTGTGCTCCCTGCCATGCTTCCCTCTCTCACCACCTCTGCAGAGCAGCATGTGGACCTCAGCATAGCAGGACACATCTGGAAGGCACAGAAAGCTTTCTGCTGCTCCGAGCTCCCCACTGCCCGGGCCACACTTCCCCTGCAGGCGGGGGCAGCACTGCAGTGTACACAACCCTGCGCTGCTGCCCACGCTGCTCCCATGCATACAGGGGAAGTGTGAGCAGGGCAAAGTGGAGCTTGCAGCAGCAGGCAGCTTCCCTGTGCAGCCCCTCTGTGCCACTGCCACTCTGTACAAATGCTGTACTCCAGAGGGCCTGGAGGAAGGCAGCAGGGCCGGGAGCACAGCATGTGCGACCCAGAGTGGCAGCGCACAGAGGGGCCACACAGGGAAGCTGCCTGCAGCTGCAAGCTCCTCACTGCCCTGGTCACACTTCTTCTGTGTGCATGGGAGCAGCATTGGCAGCAGCGCAGGCTTGTGCCCCTTGCTGCTGCCCCCACCTGCAGGGGAAGTGTGGCCAGGACAGTGTGAAGCTCTGAGTGGCAGGCAGCTTTCGTGCACCCCTGCTGTGCTCTGCCGTGCTGGGTTCAACATGCTGCTCTGCAGAAGTGGCGCAGGAGGGCAGCATGGTGGGGAGCATTGCCAGCACCTGCTGCCTCCCCAGAGCCCC